CCCCAAAACCCCAAAACCCCAAAACCCCAAAACCCCTTATCAATAAAACAAGGTTGAATTATTAGCAATTATTTTCCAAAACGGCGCTTGTTTACCTGAAATAGATTGGTAACCATCTTTTGCTCTCATTTTTGAGGTCTGAGAATAGATGAATTCGTACTGTAGTTGGTGTTATTTACCTCCTTCACAGAGATGTCATTGGAGTATTCGCAATTGCCATTAACTTTGTACATTAGAGTCTTGTTGACTTTTGCTTCAGAGCGTATTTCCTTCCTGGGAAGAATTTTCTTTGTGTTACTTTTTGAAAAATCTTTAAAGCGTAAATTTAGCTTCCTTCCCTTCATTTTAAATTCCTGGTTGAAGTTGGACTTGATAATCTTGACTTTCTGAATGTTTATAGTGGGTTTGTGACCACTTGGTAAACTCTTCCTGGCATTCTCAACTACACAGATTTAGACTCGAATATTGCATAAGCTTACCTTTCTTCGGGTTTATATCCAGATCCTTGTTAGAGTTCTTCTTTTTATGCTTGATGAACTTGATGGGAGCTTTATTGACATAACTCTCACCTAGAGAGTTCATGCTGTTATCGCCATTAAGTAATTTAGAGGATTTAAAATTTATCCGCCCTTTATTGTAATTCTTCAAACTTTTGTACTTTATCTGGTCTTTGCCTTCATCGTTCTCTATACTGCCTCTAGCAAGCTTAAGTTTGGAGTTGAACATGATGCGGCTGGGTGAAACAGAGTAATTCTTGACGACCCGCTCCTTCTCTTTATCATCCTTATGCTTCTTTATGTTCTTCTTGTTCTTTAGCAGGATGGAAGAGCGAGGAATGACCACTGATTTGTTCCTGATCTTACTCTCTTCTTCAGAGTATTGGTGGCATTGTTGTTCCATTACGCTCTTTTCAAATGCTTCGTAATTATTGGTGAGGACGAAGGGTTCATGACTATCTGTATCCTCTTTGCCAAAGGTGGGATCTCTTCAGATTTTATGCTCTCCATGTGCTATGGATTTAGATATATCTTCACTCGTTTTCAACTGATCTTTGGATTTTTCTTCGTCTATCTTTTGTGATGAGATAATTTTCTGACTTGAAATCCCCTTTACATATTTCTTAGGGTCTTCTGAATCTCCGTAGATTATGAAGTTGTTGTGCTGGGCAGTTCCTTGCTTGAACAGATCGTTTTCAGATGGGGTCTGGTCTTTGTTGTGAACTTTCTCTTTTTCATCACAGAATCACCCAGTCTCGTCATCAAAAAGCCCTAGGGAGCTTTCTATGATATTTTTATGGTTCTTATCTTGTTTCTTGGCAAGGTCAGATTGGGTTATCTGTTGCTCATTCTCTAAGTGAATACTCTCTATGTTGAGCTCTTGATCGAGGAAGGAATTGTGATTACTCATATGATTCTCCTCATCAGCAAGATGAAGCTTCTCTCCTCCGTCGTCATTGTTGAGGAAATCTTCAAAATCTTTCTCTATTTGAATATTGGCTTCATTTTTGTTCTGCGCTTTATGTACAGATGAAAGATCTGAGAAAAAGCTACTGTTGAATAGGTTGGAATTTTTATGATCTTCATTATTCAGGTCTAAGGACTTGGTATCTTCTTGGTCATGTTCGTCATAGATAATCATTGCATCTTCATCATTATATGTGTCAAGAGAACTTCCTTTATTGCTGACTTCAATGAGCTCTCCATTAGTGTTGATATTGAAAGGGTACATTTTTCTCTCTTGTTTCTTAATAATATATCCAAGATCAAGTTGAGGGATCTGAACTGTTTGACCTCCTGCAGCTTCTGCTACAATGAATCAATTTCCTTTGTCATCTTCAACCTTCCTTGCAGACTCTAGTGCATCTGAGGATGCTGAATTAAGCCTATTTTCACTGTAGATCTCACTGGGAGAGTCATTAGCTTCTGGCTCAAGGCCATCAAACTCTGTTGAGTTGATCTTTTCATGCATTTCTTCTACATAGGTGAGATACTTCACGTCAATATCATCTTGCTCTTCTGTGTCAAGGTACATATCAGGTTCTGGAGAAGTCTTGTTCAGAACATTATCATTACCAGCGTCCTCTATCTCTGAGATTTGGGAGAAATCTCAGTTTTCTTTCTGAATTTGACACTCTTTACCATTCAAAGCTTTGTCTAGAGAATAAGGCATGGACGTACTTTGTTTTCTTCGTAATGATTCCTCCTTAATTTCTTCCTTGATCTCCTTGAGAACCTCAAGTTCTTTGGGAAATCCTGTGTCAGCGTCTTTAGCCAAGATGAAAGATGACTCTTTGAAGAAATCAAGGTTTCCTTTGAGATCTGATTGGCCGAAGAAAGAGGTGACTATTTGGCTCACACTGTCCTGGCTGAAGGTCTTGTTGAAGTTCACTTCCTTATTGTTTAAACCCACTTTTTGTCTTTTTAAGATATCTTGAACGGAGATTCTCTCGTATTTAGAGATAAGCTCTTGCAATTGAGATAGTTTCATTAAGCTTTGAGGGCTGATCTCTTTCTTTTCTGCAGATTTTCTTAGAATATTGTTGAACTTGAGTGCAGGGTCATCGTCACCTCCTGTCGTTCCTGAGATATTATTGCCAGCAATTCCTGAGTATTCATTCCTAAGATTGAATGGTTGGTAGTTATGAAGGTTTAGATGGTTGCTATTCAGAGGGTCTTTATCTCCCTCCATTTCCAACACATTATCTTGTTCAGTGAAGCTATTCTGGGAGTGAGCATTATTTCTTCCCGAATTATCTCCAAAAGTAGGGTTAACATGAACACTGTCAGACTGATTTACCCGAGGATTTACTCTCTGGAATGATTTATCAGACATGAGAATCTTTGATAACTCCTTTCTGATATTAGAAAGCGCTTTGCAATAATAAACCTTCATGAACTTGTTCTCATTCTCCATCTTTGAGAGCACCTTCGATTTATCAGAGAGGAAATTTAGTGCTCGGGATCCTGCTTCTTCAGAAATGTCAAGTCCAGATTGATTCGGGAGCATCTCTTTGTATGCCACGCTATTATCTAATTTAGCATTTTTAAAGTCATTACATCGCTGTTGGAAGTCTTCGAAGATTGTATCACCAGCATTTTCGATCTCCTTGACTCTGCAAGCACAAGTGCTCACCAAAGATGATAAGGTTGGAATTTTCTTGGTCAGGCAACTCATGAGTGACTTTAGATCATTAAAGCTTATAATATCCCTCATTTCCTGAAACTTCAAGGAATAAGATTCCAAATTTTCTAAATTTAAATTAAAATCAAGAATGTTTTGTGAAGAATTCTGTTTGGTTAAGGATTCGTGATCGGTAAATTATCCCAATAGTTGAGCAACCTTTAATGTGCAAATATGACAGAACTCAGATGGTATTTTATCGGCTTATTTAGAAGATTATCTATCCTAAAACAAGGGCAGAGAGACTTACTCATAGCATCTTGGATCTCCAGGAGACTCTCAGAAACTTTCAGGCAATCTTTTGCTATCTTCGCAGAGAATGCTTTGTTCAATTTTTGGAAGATTAAATTAACGTTTTTACATTTTTGGAATTCATCTGCTAGTTCAAGGAAACTGACTGAGTTATTGTTAGGGTCAATTTCCTTCTCAGGTCTTCCGGCAATAGCCTGTTTGATATTTTTGTTGCTCTTGGTCAAAGTTTTGTCTATAAAATCTGCGAGGCCAGAATACTCAGACAAATCTGCATTCATAGGAGCTCCCTCGATAGATTCAAGGTTGAGGAATTCGTTTTTATCGTTCCCGAAAATTGGCTGATTTTTCTTTTTATTACTACTCAATTGATTACTATTGAAGTCATCTCAGAATAATTCTTGAGCGAGACAGTCAAGGCTAGAGTCATTGACCCCCTTCATTTCTTTAGACATATCGCTTATATTGGATAATGTATGCAATGCAACATTTTGGGGTTGCGGAACATTCAGATTTTGATCTTTGGAACTTTTTATATTAAAATCTTGACTTAAGCCCTCCATGTTTATTAATTTTAATCTATGCAAAATATTCAAAAGTTTAAATTTTATAGTAGTTTTTGGGGTTTTGGGGTTTTGGGGTTTTGGGGTTTTGGGG